GTATAACAGGTTTTTGGAATTCCGGTATATGAAAAACTATTTAGAAAATCCCTTGCCGCAAACCCTTAAAGCTGACAAGATATCTGACTAAAAAATATAGTAAAAAAATTGAAATAATTTCAAAATTGATGAATCAATATAACTCAGTCCTATAAACTGTTTAAACTAGTTTTTGCATGTTTTTCTTGGAATAGAATTCCTGTATGATAGGGTTTTGGAAGAGGGGTATATGAAAAACTATTGAAATCCCTTGCCGCAAACCCTTAAAGCTGACAAGATATCTATCCAAAAACGYTTAAAAATTATAGTTAAAAAATTGAGATTATTTTTAAAACGATGAATCCATAATATTCAATCCTATATGAAGCTGTTTAACTTGTTTTTGCATTTTTTCGTGGAGCATTTTTTCCAAGACCGGTATAAGTCAGATTTCTGGCCTTATGAACCAATATTACTTTACCACAGGGATCCCAAAATCCAATCATCGCCAAAAAACGCTTAATAGAAGAAAAACCAAAGACTTCTCTCAAGAAGCATTAGATGCATTAGACACTTCTTTCTTAGCTTTAAATGTTGACCTAAAAATATTTGGATTTTTAAAATTATTTCATAGAAAACGAGGCTCGTGAAGTTGCGATCCCTAAAATCGCGTTTTTTCGAAGGTCCCAAATTTTCGTAAAATTAAAAACTTGCTTTTCCTGAGCAAAATATACACTATTAGAAAGCTGAAAATGGGGGCTTTACGTTTTTGAAACTATATTTTGCAATTATATAAAARCAACGGTGTTATAAGTGAAGAAAGTTTCTGGTCTGCAGTAACCTGGCCAGCGGTCTACTGTTTTTACACTTTTGCATATTTTTCTATGTTTTTGATCTTCATTTTCAATAAAACTTGCATGAATAACACCTCTTATAATTTRCTAAATAACTGCGTTGACAAAAGTTTGAAAACGATTCATGAAATTTTGAAATGAAAGATCGAAAAATATCAAGTCTGGGTTGCCTGTGGTTTGTGTTGTTTTAAGGAAGCAGTTAACGAAATGCGTTTTTTTAATAATAGAAATACCAGAGGAACTTTGGAATCTTTTTTCAAACATCATAAATAAATGTACATGTACATTGTTTCATAGGAATTCAATTTATTATACTTCTAVAAAAATCAACTCCTAAATTCTAATTCGATTATGGAACAAGGGCCAAAGGATTGTTAACCACTGGCTATTAAGTGCTAACCTCGTAAAACAAGGACGGAATTTYATATTAAGCAAAATTTTCATAAAACTTAGTTCATAGCAAAAGAAAAGTCAGATTTGTGGCTTTATGAACCTGTATTATTTTACCACAGGGATCCCAAAATCCAATCGTCGCCAAAAAACGCTTTATAGAAGAAAAACTAATGACTTCTCTCAAAAAGCGCAAGATGTATTAAAAATTCCTTTCTTAGCTTTAAATCTTGGCCCAAAAATATTTGGACTTTTTGTTTTATTTTATAGAAAACAAGGCTTGTGAAGTTGCAACCCCTAAAATCGCGTTTTTTCGAAGGTCCCAAATTTTCGTCAAATTAAAAAATGCCTTTTCCTAAGCAAAATATACGCTATTAGAAAGCTTAGGATAAGGGCTTTACAATTCTGAGTCTATCTTTTCCGATTTTATGAAAGCGACGGTGTTATTAGTGAAGAAAGTTTCTGGTCTGCAGTCACCCAGTCAGCGGTCTACTGTTTTTACACTTTTGCATATTTTTGGATGTTGCTGCTTTTCTTTTTCAATACAACTTACATGAATATCACCTCTTATCATGCGCTAAATAATCGCGTTGACAAGAGTTTCCAAAACCTTTAAGAAATCTGAAATAATGAAAGAGTGAAAAATATCCAGTCTGGGTTGCCTGTGGTTTGTCTTTGTTTAATGGTTCACGTGTTTTAATTAAAAAGATGAGCGAAAATTGCCGATTTTTTCCAAATTTGATACATAAATCTATTAAGCTTGATTAGGATATAATTTTCTTTCAAAAACGTTGAAATTGAATTTTTAAAAAAATTGTTATTTTACCACAGGGACCCCAAAATCAATTAAGTGTGACCACAGGTACCCCGTTTTTTGTTTCGCAACAAAAATACTCCGAACTCTCCCTTCCCTGGGGATAAGTGATGGCCAGTTCCTTATTGTGTTATGTATGTTAAAGAAATACCGAAATACACCTAATAAACCTGATTAGAAAGTGACAAACCTGAAGTTATTTGTAAACATAACGTACCGGGCATCTTCAAGTTCAATCCAGCCACATTCTTGACTTATTCCACGCTCTATCGTCGTTTCTTTGCTCGATCATATCATCAACATGGACGACAACACAAATCTTTCTCAAGATACAGTTCAGTGCTCAACAAATCTTAATTTTCTTACTACTAGCTCTTTTTCTTATTGGACTATTGAACAATGAAAATGTACCTTGGAAAACGCCTATTGCGTGCTAAAGAAATTTAACGAACCCATTGAGATCCCAAGACAAAAAAACGCCTTTTAAGCATTGTTATTTGCTGCTGAAAAAATCCATTTGTTTAAAACTTCTGTAAATATTATCACTCAATACAATAGAGTAATTCAACTTGGCCCGTGAAAAAATAGCCAACATACAGAGTATACACTAATTACATTGTTTTCTTTTGTTTTAATTTGACTGTCAGTCACTAAGTATACAACTTTGTTTCACGGACCAAGTAAACCCAACATACAGGCCGGTAGAAAATGATTGGCTGGGAGGGGGGAAGGGGTAGGTGGTGTGGCTCAAAATTTTTAAAAAATAAAATTAAATACGAACACCATCACATAATTGCAAAATCATATTATGCTACATTTCCCCCTCTCCCCCTCCCCCAAAAATATCCAGGCCTTACACTAGCCTCCTCCAACATAGAATACACGCCCACAGACGAAGAAATTACTCAATAAAAATACAACTTTATTTAAAGTGATAGTACGAAGACTCTACTAAATACGATATCATTGTTATTATCACATGCGTATTAACGTATTTACTCGCCAAATAAACGCCGGGTCAACGAGGACCAGTTTTAAATAAACGCTAAAGGCGTTYAAACGAGTAAWTACGGTATTTTATTTTYTATTATAGTATGGTTTTTAAGAAAATGTTTTTGCGCTTATCCATGTATTGCATGGTCAAGCGCGCGACACACACTAACCGTACAATGTAACTAGCCAAACTACTCCTTTCATCCAATAATAAAGTACAAGTACGACGTACAGTACAAGATAAATCTAACACACGCATTGGCAATATATAACTATGGACAKTGCACACGATGTATCTAGATCACATCAAGTACATACAAGTCGTACCGTGACCGTGTCGTGGCCGAGGRGTGCTATCGCGCGCTGTCTTTGGCTTACRGAATGTCGTCAATCTCGAACTGCTYTTTATGTGCGCAATCTCCTGCAAGTAAAAGCATACCAAATTGTCATACCGCAAACGCCCTGTGAGAACGATCCACATTATGTATTCAAGTCGTACACTGTGCGCTTTTTATCTATCAAAAAAAAAATGAACATACTGTGAATTTTTAAATGCATAGGTATTTAATAATGACTGTTGAACGCACATTTTGCCTATATCAAATACACTGTGCATCATATACTAACAATRTAACCTGTGCATCTAACACACATGGTATGTGCATTGTMTCTAATACATGWAGAGTGCACAGGGTATTTAATACTCACTGTACCCTGCGCATCTAACATATCAAATACACTGTGCACCATATACAAACAATATACCCTGTGCATCTAACACACCTGGTATGTGCATTGTATCTAGTACACGTAGAGTGCACGGGGTATCAAATACTCACTATACCCTGCACATCTAACATATCAAATACACTGTGCATCATATACCAACAATATATATCCTGTGCATCTAACACACATGGTATGGGCAGTGTATTTAATATACCTAGAGTGCACAGGGTATTCTATACTCACTGTACCCTGCGCATCTAACATATCTGGTATGCGCAGTGATCAGATACTAACAATATACCCGGTGCATCTAACGCATCTGGTGTGCACAGTGTATCTAATATACGCAGGGTATTCTATACTCACTGTACCCGGCGCATCCAACATATCTGGTATGCGCAATGCATCATATACTAACAATATACCCGGTGCATCTAACGCACCTGGTGTGCGCAGTGTATCTAATACACGTAGAGTGCACAGGGTATTTAATACTCACTGTACCCTGCGCATCTAACATATCAAATACACTGTGCACCATATATACAAACAATATATCCTGTGCATCTAACACACCTGGTGTGCGCAGTGCAACTCAAGTCTTGGTGTCACTGATCGGAAAGACTACACATGACCAACATACTTGTCCATGAAGTCCTTCACCTTTCTGGAAAAATCTAGTTTGAAGGGCTAAAAAGATGGAAAAATGATTACAAACTTGTAACTTATCAAACTAATTAATAACTTATGAAGGAAAAAACACCATGAAAGTGAAAGCCCATTCATCATAGTTACCATGACAATGATCAGATATCAAATGCTAAACAATCTTCAAAATTGCAATTTTGTCAAAAACGTAATTAATTAATCAATTAACTAATTGAATTTATTAATTTATGGTGCGCAAATTTCAAATTCAAATTCCAAATTTTTTWAAAATCACATAATAGTCCCCTTCACAGTTTCCTGTACCATCTTGAAAGGTAGCCTGCCTGTGCATTGAAGGGAGAATAGAAGTGACCTTGCAATGACAGACATGTGAATAATTGTCCAAGGTGTAAAAAAAAMCAGGTATCTATCATTGCAAGGTCATTGCCAGTGGATCTTCAGTGGATCTTTTACATCCGCCTTTTACAGGGTTATATAGTGAAGACAGACAGGGCCTACAGTTTTAAGAGCTTGTCCGAGAAGACTTGAAGGTCTAACCATTTGCAGAGGCAACACCTTTTGCTCAGTTATTTTAAGACCCCGAGTGTTGGTCCGGCCGAGACTTGAACCACAACCTTCCGCACAACAGACCGATGCTCTACCAACTGAGCTAACCGGGTGGCGGTAACTGGGTCGYATTGGCATTGCAGAACATTGTGGGACTATTAAGGGGACAGATCCAAGTCATCTWTTTTGTCTCCCAAAACAGTCCCACAGTACACTACAATGCCATYGCGACCCAATTTTACCCTCACCCTGTGAATGCTTAATGTTCTCACYTTTTCGCAGGAACTGAAAGTCYGATTACCAACACAGGATTCCCGCAACTTGGATAATTCTTGGTAGTTTCTTAAAGTCACACTTGTAAACTCTCTAACTGATGTTACCTACAGATATCAATTGTAAATATCCAATAGTAACACTACACACTGGACAAAGTAATGGATGRCCATAGGCAAAAACCAATAAGACTAGTAAAATATAGCGCATCACCAAGAAAAAGTGCTATGAGAGAAGCTATGAAAGCGCATCACTACAAAACAAGTATTATGATCAAGCATTATTTAACGAATGGAAAAGGTTTTTTGTTCAGTAATAAAGCACGCATGAGGTGACACAATCACGAAAGAAGTGGTGAAGAGAAGCACAAGCCSTCAATTAGTGGTTCTCACACTTCTCGAGTGTCTTCGGCGCTTCCTATGAGTGCTATATTACTGAACAGAGCACAGAAAAGCTATTTCAATGCTGTTTTCTTACAATTCTTTGAAATGCAACTGTGCTCTGTTCTCTAATAAAGCACATTTTTTGACCAATCAGAGCGTGTCTACTATCTAAGCTACAAAACAATGGATAACAAGCTGTATAACAAGCTGTATAACAAGCTGTATAACAAGCTGTATAACAAGTAATATGATAGCGCATGACTAGGAAACAACTACTGTGGTCACTCAACTGGTGGTTTAGTATAGCATTTTGGTATACCTTTAGAATCAAATGTTCATTACATTCTACCAACAGAGTAAAGAATGCCAATGGCAACAGTTTACTGTACTTGTTTGGGACAATGAGAGTCCTAAGGAAAGGAAATATAGTAATTGTAAATCTAATTGAAAGTCTTGGAATATATASTTACTGGGAGGCTAAAAAAAGGAATGCTTCACATTCCTTCAAGAGAGAAGAAAAAGACGATGAAACAGATGTTAGATATTTTTCTGTTGGCTCAATGCCTCGACTAATTCAGGTACCATGGGCGTATCTCTGATTGTGG